TGCTTGGCCCCCACGGTGACTCCTCCACCTCCGCCTTGGTCTCTAACTGTCTCATTTGAGCTTCTCCTGCATCTTCAGCGTCTCCCAACAATCAGACACTGAAGGCATCCCCCCCTCCTGGTTTAAAGTCACCCCTGGTGTGTAGTGGTGGCCATGGCTCGTCGCCCATGCCACGCGGCTCCCTGGGGGAAGCGGCCTTTGGAAACGAGGACCACATCCTGTCACTCGAGCCGTGGCCCATAAGGCCGGCATCCACACCTCGCCGGCATCCGATACCTCGCAGGTTATGCCACGGGAAGTGACCGCGTCCGCTTCCCCGCGCACTGAGACACGAAAACACCTGCTGCTCCTCTGGCCAGACAGGCTGGCAGAGTCGCCGGCTACCCTGCCGGAAACAGGAATAATCCTAAGGTGAGCAGCGGGAGAAAAGCACCCCCCCGCCCCCCCCTGCTCAGAGCTGGGCCCTGCAAACCAGAAGCACATGCAGGGGCGGCTGCCACTAACCTACACATTACCACCACTAACAGTGAGAATACACTATATGCTACATTCCATGGTACTTCTACAGGTGCAGGGGCATATTCTCTGTCTGGGGGGGGGGGGGGGGGGGGTGCAGACACAACGCCCTGGGAGGGGAACTCAGAGCCACACAAATACAAGTTTGTGTACTTCCCTGGACCAGTGAGAAAGTGCACTACTACTTCCAGGTCATTTTAACACTGAAAGGTCGTCCAGTTTCAGAACAAGGGAAATGGCCAATACACAGCACAGCAAGAATACCCCAAATCCCCAGGAGCTGCTAGCAGGCGTTCCACATAAAACGCAGCTCAAGTCTCAAAGGACTGGTCACATGAGGCATCTCGATACATGCAGCACATTAGGCACACACTGCCATCTGCTGGACACCTCCAGACATTACACACGTTACACAAGCGTTATGCTTCAGAAACTAAACCAGGACATCCAATGATGGCTATTCTTATTTAATTAGCACTATTTTTGGTGTCATAAAATAAGAGAACCAAAATGATCCTGAGGATTAACACACCCTCTGTAAACTGAGGATGTTTTTAATAGCAATATAGTAGCTTGAAGACAAGATACAGCAAACTTCCAATTTACTAGATGCTTACTATCCAACAGGTTCTGGCCAAAGAATATAGTGAAAGGAGTACCGTGCTGGAGGTGAGGCTCTGGCCCAGCTCCACGATGTGAGGGTGTGGGCTCTGCGTGTCCGCGACACAGGGGCTGATCTGTGAGGAGAGGCACACGGGACTTAGTGCAGCTGTTAGTACTGGAGGCGGTGAGGCACTAGGGACCCAGAGGCAGAGGCTGGGCAACCTCGATGGAGCCGGACTGGGCCGAGTGGAGGTGGGGGGCTCGCGGGTAGATATCCATCAGGTGGGGGGCCGGGTCCGGATTGACGCGGCCACGATGCCTTTTCAGTACTTCCTTATAGTCGAACGCATCAAAATTGGTCTTCCACATCAGAACCTGGATCAATAGAGAGACGAGCGTGATCCTGAGATATGTCCATGGCAGCTGGGCCTCCCGACATCGCCATCGAGGACCAAAACAAACCTGGTGTTTCTACGGCCCCCGGATACCACAGCTCCCACACGTACCTGAGAATCACCGCCTCCGGAGACAAAGAGGTGACCATCAGGGGAGAACGCCACAGCAAGCACCGGCCCCTGGGGGAATGCCAAACATTCCCAGCAGCAATTACAGTACAACCATCTTTACTCCACCCTAATGTCATCGAAGGGAATGACGTTCCCTGCCCAACAGCACAACCTTGTGGCCATGGAGGGTATAGATCAGCCTCCCCTCCATCAGGTCCAGGATCTTCACTGTGCTGTCACTGGACGCAGTGATGAGGTAGTTGTCCGATGGGTGAAATGAAAAGCAATTGATCCCAGCACTGTGAACTGTTATAAAATAAGACACAGCCTGTACGATCTAGCAGCACTAGAAGACAAAGGGCAAGTCCAATGTGCGGGAAATGATTAGGGTTGGGGAATGCTATATGCTGGTATACTGCCTGTGTTTTATCCTCAGTAAGGACACTTATGCTGAATCGCTGCTGTTTCACACCCTACAGCAGGGGTGGGTAATCTTATCTGCGAAAGGCTGGTGTGTATGCAGGTTTTTGGGAAAACCTTTAGGTCAGTTGTTCAAACCCAGGTGTGAGGAACCTTCAACCAATCAGTTCCCTAATTAGTAATCTAATTAGGGAGTTGAAGCGAAAACCCGCATACACAATGGTCCTTTGCGGATAAGATTGCCCACCCCTGCCTTACAGGAATTAATAAATGTTATCCTGTTCAGTACGAATTCATTAGTACAGAGTATTTAGAATCACAGCTGATTAAACAACAATAGAAAGAGGTGTTTAGATGCACACTCGGTATGTAAATAAAAGGTTACTCGCATACACGTACCTCGGTAGTGCTGCAGGAGCTTGTTGGTACGGATGTCCCATATTTTTAAAGTGTTATCTGTCCCCGAAGAACAGATACAGGTGCCTCTACTGTTAAAACCCACATATGTCTCACACCTAAAAAATGAAAGTTATGGCATTTTCCATTTATTTTCTCACATTCAGCTCAATCTTACATCTCCCGAGTGGCTGGTATAAAGATATAGCTCAGTTTATGGGGACAGGCCTAGCGAGGGAGATGGAGTACGTCTCGTGAGCAAAAAATCTTGGTGTTAGCAGAGAGACACACGAGCCCTCAAGGTCTTCTGACCTTGGGGTACCTCATGGTCATGTGCCAGCCATTTGGCCTACTTAGGGAATTCACAGTGGTTACCATGGCAACCATTCATAGCTCTCTACAAACTGATACCGATGTGATGCTCAAGGAACGATGTGGGATAGGAAAACTCAGGCCAGGAGGCCTGAATTAGAAAGCAGTTATTTCTAAATATGACTAACATGTCACTCGCTGGGATTGGACATTCCATCATTGGTAATCCTGCCTTCTGGAAAAGCAATTCCTACACACAGAAATTAAAACAAGAAGCTCCTGTTACTAGGACCAAACAGTACTGGCTGAGCCAATCAGATTTCACGCTCCAAGGCTGTTTTGATCACATGGGCTGGGAAACGCTTCATGTTGCCTTGGAAAATAACAATGCACAGGGTATTGCTTTGGTCTCAGTGAACGCAGAGGAAGTCAAGAACTGCAACAATGATAAGACCAGGGCAGCAAAGGGGTGGGGAATTTCTGGAACGTTTCCATGGAAATTTTAACATGAGACTTTTGAGCAAACCCTGGACACGCTGGAGAGTTTCTATCTCTCGGCAGACCTGAGAACGCCTTGGTATCCCCGGAGCAGCTGGAGGAGGTGGATGGGGCCTCCCTGCTCAACATATAGAGCACTGCACTAACAGCACAAAGGGTCATGGGTTCAAATCCCAGAGAATACACATAAATTGTACCCTTTCTACTAAAAAAAATTAAAAAGCCAGATAAATGAAATGAATAAATGTTCAGACTGCTGCCCTACCAACCAGAAGAGTGCTTTTGGCTGGATAATGCACCGAGACTAGCAATAACCTTACAAATTCTCCCAACATCAGCTGCCTCTGAACACATAAGGACTGTGCTGTACTGTCCCACCCAGCAGAGGGCAGTATGGACAGCCCAGGGTGTTGCTGTGGGTGCACTTCCCTGCTTGCTGCCTCAGCACGGCCTTCATTTATCCCACCATGAGCACAGGGCACATGACGAGGCAGCAGATCGAAGCTTAAGTGAAGATGAGAAGCCAGCTTACCCGCCATGGTCTGTGAAGGTGTTTATGCACTGGCGGCTGGCGGTGTCCCAGAGGCGCACCGCCCTGTCGTCACCACACGAGGCGATCATGCGTCCGTCTGGTGAGAAGCTGGAGAAAAAGCAGGGTGCAGAGTCTGGAGGAGCCAGCAGGAGATGAGCCACACACAAAAGCCGACAGGTTCTGGCCCATGTGACCACCCTAAAGTTGGGCCTCTCCCCAAAGGTGGCCACCTCTTCGCTTATCCTCATCTCTAGCTCACAGAAACTGCAGAACGCTAGGCAGGTTTCCCCTGGAGAGTGTTCGTTTTGCTCTGCAGGCTATAAATGAAGCCCATCCCCCTATGCTTCTGGTCACTGACCAGTCCCTGAAGATGACGACCCAGGCTGTGTATTAACACCACACCTGACCCAGTATGTACACACAACGTGAGTGACGGGCGATTCTCGGCCTGTACCGTGCACAGCGCGCCCAGTTGGTGTGCTGCTTCAGGGAGAAGATGAAGCGCTGCTTCTGGACACTCCACACTTTAAGGGATTTGTCATCGGAGGCGGTGAGCAGCTGCTGGCCGTTGGGGGAGAAGCTGACGCTGCGCACTGCGGCCGTGTGCGCTCTGAACACCGCCGTCTGGCCTTTCCTGGGCAGGAAATGACACGTCACATTGGTGCCATCACCAGCGAAATAGTGAGTGACAGGGAGAGCTTTCACAGGACTTACAGAGTAAAGCACAGGTCAGTGTGAAGCAGGGGCCTGGACATAAGGGATGTATATCATTCCTACAGTGGCAAGTATAGACGCAATTCGAACTGAGCTAAGAAAAAAAAACATACCTTGGGTGTTTCTCCATAACCCTACTTGACCGTACTTGTTGAGACCACAAGTATGATCTTTGCATTCTAGGTATTGAGAAACACCCAGTATTATGACAGGGGACCAGGGCATTTAGCTTTGAAGATCCCAGGATGTATTTAAGGAATAAAGAGCATGTGGTTTCTCCTCCCCACTCACGTGCTGGGGGTCCACAGCCGAACCGTTCTGTCCAGTGAAGCAGAGGCCAGCAGGTGCCCAGCGGGAGAAAATTCGACTCCAGTGACGGCCAGTGTGTGGCCCACCAAGCGGATCGCCCGGGCCTTGGGATTCAGGTTCCACACCATGACGGCCGTGTCAGCTGAACTGGTTGCTGAAGGGCAGCAGACCACGACAAATGGCATTTCCAGAAGTGTGGGGAGGAGCAAAATAAAAGCCGGATTTAAAGGCCACGCACGTACCCAGCTGTGTTAGGTTTGGGCTGAAGTGAGCACAGGTGACGGCATCTTTGTGACCTTTAAACTGACGATCCAAGGAAGGATCTTCCTGAAACAATACAATTACACCGGAACATCCACAACCTGCAACACCACATCCATGTGAACATGACATATGATGGATAAAAGTCATGGTTACTGTATATAATGAGCAAATATTACAACACTTTTTGCGCGCAAACGCAAGACTTACTTTACGAGGGGATCAGTTTTAGACACTAGCACTAGTAGGAATGGTGGCTTGTTAAAGGCAGGGGCAATTCTAGGATTTAATCACCCTGCCCCCATCCCGCCGCATCCCCGATGATAAAATTAGCTCGGAGGGGGATCCCCGTAAAATTTGTATGAAAGGTGTCACTGAATGGATTTAGGGTTACCGGCTTTCACACATCTGGCGCGACACTCACGGTTTCAGACTCTTGCGCAAGAAATTCTATCTATATTAAATCTATATTATTCCATTATAAACCTAAATTAGCAACATCAAAAGCGTTGAGGCCGTTTGCAAACCCTACAGACTATTTGCAAGGTAATAAAACTTATGTACATGTAAATGCGTTTGCAAACTTCTCTGGGATTGAAAATCTGGTAATACTTTACTTGGGGGGACACAAATACATAGTAGTAACAGTTACTACTGACGTACAAATCATGAACAAATATAGTAGCTACTAAGATGAAAGATGTTTCACGATTCATTAATTATGAACAGACAAGATATAAGTATTTCAAATGTATTATTCACAACTTGTTCCTTCAGTAGTAACACATTTTTTTTATTTTGTGGTTAATTAATACACAAGTTATAGCATAATACTGCATTATTTGTGTCCCCTCATAAAATCTAACCAAAATTGGCAACCCTGCATATATGACAAAACGAGGAAAAAAGAGTGGCCGACGCCCCCTAAACAGGGTCTAGAACCGGCTATGGTTAAGGGGTTGGTGACTCAGACATACGGTAGTCCGTGTTTTCTAAGCCACTCAGCGGAAATGAGCCGCCCTGTGCACCTTCTTACCAGCACGGACGCCATCGGCACCGCCTGCGAGGCTCCGGTGTGTGTGATGTACGAAGAGACCTCAGCAGCAAATAAGTTCACGGACGATTCGTCCCTTAGCCTATTAGCCCGTTAGCGCCGCAGCAGTGCTCACCGTCAAACCGGCGCGCTTTTCCCCAGGCTAGAGTAGATGATGACCGAGTCACCCACCAGCGGAAACATAAAGTACACATATCAGAAACCAACTCTATTATGGTATATGCATCCATTTACTTGGCAGACACACTCGTTTCATCCTAGAAGTAAATGAAGAACATTAACGTTAAGCCTTTCTGAAGATGTTGGCTTTCCACGCGCACTTAAAAATGTATAGATATCTTAGCGTAATACAACAAATTTGCACTGATTAATAAAAGCGCCTCAAGACTCCATCAAAGACACTACTCGTTACCCAGATAAACTAGCTGAAGTGATTATTTATTTATTTTTGTAGCATGATCAAACTCCGTCTACCCTAAAGGAAACAAGGGAAACGTTTGGTTACTGTTGCTAGGCAACTATTTTCCCAAAACCTGCACGTCCCAGTAAGCTCATCACTGATTGGCTTCTCGCATATTAGCATAATCAGAGGGCCGTATCAGTTATGCATGAAAGATTACGTCCTGTTCGGGAAAATGTTAAAAATGTTCGAGAAAATGTCGAGAAAATTATTCATATACATTAGTCTGTAGCTATTTTTTACTTTTACTGACGAATGCCACTCACACTTCCAGCTCACATACACTGCCCGCTGTGTTGGCCACCCTGACTACTCACACACCATATGACTAAACTTGCTATTACCATATACACAATAACAGCACGATACATGATAAATACACAGAGCTATTTATACTATGCTCACTTGGCATCAGTCCACCATGCTGCCCGATGGGTATCCCCAGCACCTGGTACAGGAGAAGAATTGCTATGCAAACTAGCCCTTCAGGGAGTAAGTATGAAACTATATCCCGTCTAAGAACATTGTCACTTTCAGGGAGGGAAGGTGAGATAGTCAGCAAAATCTGAGAGAAGATCAAAAGTTAACTTTAAAAGGCAGGTTTTATTTCATAGGGCCCGGATATTCTTCATAGACATATAGCTGGTAATGCAAAAAAAGATGAAAAGAAGGAAACCTCAGATTAAGGGTATGTAGCTCTGATTAAATACTGGAATAGGTGGAATTCAAAAAATATAAATCAGATATCTGTGGTCTCAGTGATCCTGTCATAATAATTTTTTTACTCTGCTTCATTTCCATAAATGATACTTACAATCAAATCCTACAGGGGCAGTGTGTTACCTCTTAAAATCGAGTTGAGATCATTTCTGAAAATTAAAACACATAGAAAACCACCTTTTTCCATACCTAGACTTTGGTTAATGTGGCCTACTACGCAGAGTAGAACGTTAGCGAAATCGACCTATTTTAGTAAATACAGCGGAAAGGAGATTACGAAATTACAGCTTTATGTTGAGTATAAATTTAGGAGGACTGATGTTGTTGTGTTCCTTTTTGCAACACCCACCCCTCCCAGCGTCGTCCAGGATGTAGATAAATTTCTTCCGTGAAGGCAATTGCAAGGTTTTTTGGGGGGCGGGGCGGGGCGAGGCGAGGGTTCAGCGCATGTCTCATCCAGCTGCTGGGTCTCAGCCCGACTGAGTCCTTGACCAGCTCCATAAAGGCAGAATCAAATATTGGGTGCGTTCGACCTGGGCTTATATCTGTCTGCAGCTGACGTAACGTGGAGCGCGATCTGTCGGCGGCTGCAGGGCTGGAGTATAAACTGACTGCAGCCAAGTCGGACCACTTCTATTCATAGTGTGCGAGACCCGACTGCAATGGCAGCACTGCCAGAATGGTGTAGATAAATCTATACAAATAACCCCTGCATGCACATTGCTTCTTTTACAATAACCAACTCCTGATACAAACTGTTAGCAGTGAAAAAAATAAACTATTGCGTATAGTGACCCTGTGTAAAAAGATAGCTGCCAGGAAAAAGATCAAATACATTTATTTCAAGGATTCAAAGTTTTAATTGTCATGTACAGAATACAATGCAATTCTTACTTGAATGCCTTCTTCACAGACTAAACGATTAAACAAATAAAGCAGCGCAACATTACAAAAACTAACAATATATAAACTAACTTACGTGTACGGTGTACTATTGTAGCATTTATTCCTATGCCGTACGATCTGTCGTCTTGCTATCGCGAGGTTTTTGTACCATGTGACATGGTGACGCGTGGTGACGTTTTGCAGCGCCGCTTTTTTCAGACAAAAAAATCTAACCACGATGCATTGCGTCAGGACCAGAATGCATTGCTTTAAGCCAGCGCTTTAAGCGTCTGTATTAAGTTAAATTAACCTATTTTCCATCCAGTTAACTTTAATGATAGTTTGTGAACTTGATTACGCATTTCTGCAGTGGAACAGGTATTGTGTGTTTCTGGGTAGATTGTTAGCCCTGTATTAAATATCTAAATATACATTACTTGAACCATGGCAACTGAAACCGTTCCAGTCGTACTAACTGATTCTCAAGGCACATTGTTACTGCATGTGCCCAAAGACGTTGCAGAAAAGCTAAGGACTGGTGAGTACACAATAATCTTTCATTTGCTGATACTTGTTTAAGGCAAGTAGGGTCAAACATTACTGTAAATACCTCTGTAAATGTGTGTGTTTTTTTCCCCCCAGATAAGGAGTACTTGGCTAGTCTAGCGCATCAGGTTAGATTATCTACAATGTTGCAAGGTAAAATTCCTTTTTTATTTGCTTTATGAAAACACTTTATTAGACAATGGGAGGCCAGTGAAAGAGTATAGTTATAACTACCACATCATCTGCTCTGCCTCCTGTTTTAATTCTGCCAGCACCATCGGAGTCCCAAAGACCCACTGCTGCAACCCCACCTGGGCCCCTGAACCCTGCCATTCGCGCCTGTCCACCAGCAGCACACTCGGCAGGCCCTAGTGCTGTGGACGAGGACTCAGACCAGGACATTTCAGAGTCACAACCAGGTATAGTGCCTATTAGAAAAATCACAATTAAATTTTACGCTGTGAAATGACAGTGCAATCTTTTCCTCTCAGAAATGAAACACCGGCTCACACTTTTTCTGCTTGCAACAATAAAAAAACATCGCTCCCTTTTCTACACAAATAAGCCCGCTTTTTATAGAAGAGTCTGTAAAGACATGTTACAAGGGGACCACAAATGCTCAGCGGAGCAGATAAGGAAGAAAATTTCTAACATGTTGGCGACATACAAAAGGGTCAAAGACAGATGTCAGACCACCGGAGAGGCAAGAATCAACTGGGACTATTACACAGTAAGTATAATAATGTTTACCAGTCTTGATATTAATGTTAACATTATGCCATTTTAACTGTACACTACTAATTAGGTTATGTAGTATGAGTTTTCCAACAATCACTACAGAATTTCTAGCTAATGTCACTTTGCTGGACTTAAACCTGACTTTGTTTCCACAGATTATGGATGAAATATTCGGCCAGTCAGGTGCTGGGAGTGTCACAGAGGGCACGATAACCTCCACGCCCCTCTCTACCCCTCAGCCTTCAGCACCAGAGCCTGGTCCTGATGTTTTCACCATGAAGGCTACTGATGGCGTCCTGGGTAGGAGGCCAGCAAGCCAAGCGGGATCATTCTTTGAGTCATACGAAGCCCATGCTGAGCGGAGAAGTGCTGTGCTGGAGTCCCTTGTACGCCCAGACTTGGAGAGGTTCAGGAGGCTGAAGGAGAGGAGGAGGAGAAGCTTTGAGAAGAAAGTTGTCACAAGTCTTGGGCAAATTTCAAAGAACTTGCAGGAGATTGCTAAAGGCCAACAAGAAATTGTTAAACTCTTGCAGAATGTACAGCGCACATAAAAAAATAAAATAAAAAACAAAACTGTGTGCCACGTATCATCATTCTCTTTGGGGATTCCATCCTCATAACATTTACATTAAAGGCAGCAGTTGGTTAGTCAGTCTAGATCTCTAGGGACCAATAGTTACTGAGATTCCCTGCTGATTTGGCCAGGTTTCGTGGCTCCCAGGTTCCATGACCTGCACCAGGTAGGTACAGCAGGGTTCTCGAATGTGAGATACTGCAATTAAAAGGTAAATTACAAGGTGCAATATAAAACTTCATGCAATGTCTGCATGAAAAGCAATAAAAATGCACTTGATTTACATGTAGCCACCACCCCCTTTAAAGCAGCCAAAGTCGATGCAGTGGTCCAGTACCGAAATGGCAAATTTGCCAAAGTGAACTTTATTGTCATCTCAACCATATAGAATTATACTGTGAGACAATATGGCACAGCTCAGGGTCCACAGTGTAACAAATACTTAAAACAAATATTAAAAACATAACTAACATTGCAAAGACAAAGACTGGAAACCTAGACAAACAGTAGCAGCAGTGTGGCATATAGCAAGTAAAGTGTAGATTAATGCAATGTATTACGTTTATCAGAATAGCAGCATGACTTGCAGTACTGAAAGCAGTGTGTAATGATATGTTTAAGAACATGTGTGAACAGCTCACAAGTCACAATGTTTTACAGCTAAATAATAACAATAGAAATTACATAACAATGATGATTCTTCATATCGCTGGCATGACAAATGCAATGTGCAAGAGATATTTAAAGGTGGTGTGTGATTTCCAGTACTTTTGGTCTATGTGCAAACTGGACATTACAGCAAAGTGGCTGTGCATGTGTATAAGGTCTGCATAGCAGTTTAAGAGGTGAATGAGGCTGTGTGGAAGATCCCAGGGGGGCGAACGGTGTTGAGGAGCCTGACAGCCTGGCAGACCCCGGCTCTGATGCTGCAGTCTCCTCTCCTCAGGAGAGTGAACAGTCCATGTGAGGAGTCCTGCACCATGCTGCAGGCCTTGTGGACACTGCGCTTGTGAAATGTGTGCTGTAGTGAAGGAAGAGGCACCCCGATAGTGCTCTCTGCCGTTTTCACTATCCTCTGCGGGCGCTTGCGATCGAATGTGTTGCAGTTGACGTACCAGGTATTGATGCAGCTGGTCAGAATAATGTCGATGGTGCCTCTGTGGAACGTGGTGAGGATGGAAGGGAGGAGTCTCGCCCGTTTCAGCCGCCGCAGGAAGTATCTCTGCTGGGCTTTCTTGGTTAGGGAGGAGGGGGTGTCCGTCCATGTAAGTTCCTCAGTAATGTGCACACCGAGGAACCTGGTACTCCTTACGGTCTCCACAGCACACCCGTTCATGCTGAGTGGAGTATGGACAGGACAAGTCTTTCTAAAATCCATAGTTATTTCTTTTCTCTTTTCAATGTTGAAAGATAAGTTGTTGTGTCCATACCATGTGGACAGTCGTTCCACCTCCTCTCTGTATGCAGTGCCTGCTTATCAGTTCCAGCACAGTAGCATCATCTGCAAACTTGATGATGTGATTGGTGTTGTGTGCTGCTACTGTATGCAGTCATAAGTTAGCAGGGTGGTGAGCAGAGGATTAAGTACGCAGCCCTGCAGAGCTCCTGTACCGTGATGGTGTTGGAGGTGTTGCATCCTAACTGTACAAACTGAGGCCTCTCAGGAAATCCAAAATCCACTTGCAGAGAGTGGTGTTCAGGCCTAACCAATAACCCACTCAGTTTCACGATCAGCTTTTGAGGGATGAATGTGTCGAAGGCGGAGCTAATATCTATGAACAGTTGCACATGTAACAGGCTGAGGGGTGTGTTTGGCTGCGGTTCGGCCTTTATAAACTATTGCATATTGTGTCTCTGTAATGAAGTGCCTGTTCATTTTGAGGCTGAGGTGGATAAATGTCATCATCCAGGGCCTCATTGTTAATTATGTCAGGGTGCTGATCCCCAGGATCGTAGGACAGGTTGTATAGGATGCAGCAGGAACACATTGCTGCACTAATCTTCTGAATACTGTCCATTTGCAGGTATTTCAGTCGGCGGAATTTGGAATTTAGTCCGAATGCCTGTTTAGTGACCACACAAGCACCGTTTAGTCTCCTGTTATAATTGTTTTGCCTGTCTGTGAGGTGTCCATTGTCCCGGTACGGCTTCAGCAACTGAGGCAAGAGTGGGAAGGCTGAGTCTGCAATGATGTGCAGACCCTCTGGCATGAGGGATCGGGGATCCTCCGCCAGAGCCTGAGCAACTGCTGTGTGCTGGAAAGCATCATGCCAGCTACCAGGGAGGCAGAATCTCCTCTGGCTGCCACAGTACCCAATCAGAATGATAGATTATTATTTTTTTCGGTTTAGGTATGCCAGTGGGTTCTCTAGGTGCGGCTTCCTAATCGGGATGTGGCAGCCGCCGACAGCCAATCCGGTCCTTGGGAGACCTGCCCTAGCAAATCCCAACTCTGACCTGTGAAGACTTTCCCCCACTGGCCCGGTAGCATGATGTGCCATGTGTGTGTTTATCAGCACACAGAACCGATGGCAATGAACCATCAAAGTGGACTTGCTGATATTAAAGCGGCTTGCAACACCCCTGTAGGACTCGATTTGCCAGGGTCCATAAACAGGCCAGGACACTGTCTTTTAAGGGGATTTTGGTAAACAGGACCAAGTGTGGTGATGACATCCTGGGATAGTAAATATGAGAAAACAGGTCATTGATAACATGGAAACATTATTATAATAAACTATAACAATAACGTAGCCTCAAAATACCGTACGCACCTCCACTTGTCCTTTAGAAAGCCAGAAATTACTCCTAAACTCTGACAGATTGTATAGAGCAGGGGTCACCAACATGGTGCCCGCGGGCACCAGGATGCCCCCAAAGACCACATGAGTCACCAGCGGACCTGTTCTAAAAATAGCACAACTCACCAGTGAGCAGTGTCTAAAATTTAATTTTATCCTGTTGCTATTCTTCTTTAATCACATTTGCATTTATATAGATTTGAAAATGACAATATTTTAAAAATAGCAGTTAAAAACCTGTTTATTATACATTAAGTTGACATATGTTTAGGAGGGCGTTTCAAACTGGTAGCCCTTCGTATGGCTCAGTACCCGAGAAGTAGCTCTCAGTTTTAAAAAGGTTGGTGACCCCTGATATAGAGGGATGACATCATCCACAAACCCAATCATTTTTGGAACACGCCTAGAGAAGGGGATAGAATAAATGTTTTTTCTCCTCAATGTATTCTTATCTCGCCTTATTTCACTCGTGGGCTCCTTAAAAGACACAGGAAGGATCTCAATAAGAACTGATTTATTTATTGTGAGATTTATTGTGAACACATTTTTGAGGCAACGTCTGAAACACACGTGGCCTCAGCTATACTCCTCCCCTCGCAGGTTGAGCTTTCTTTATTTATCTAGGCTAAAATCACGCCATGTCTTACCTTAAATTTGAGTAAAAATGATGAGGTTATAAATATGATATGCATATTTTTAGACAGTTTTAAATTACCTTCGCTGTTCGCCAAATTCTTCATGCAAAAACACGGGGATTTCCACGATCTCGATTTCGTCTGCCACGAAAAACGCCAGTCAGGTCTCACACACTACGAGGAGTAGAAGTTGTCCGACTTGGTTGGAGTTTATACTCCAGCCCTGCATCCGCCGGCAGATCTCACTCCACGTCACGTCAGCTACCCAATATGCCTTTATGGAGCTGGTCATGGGCTCCGTCGGGTGGTAAAACATAACACTGTCATTGTTTAAAGGTCCGTCGGTATTTTAATAAATCCTGAGAAGCACGAGTGCAGATTGTGATTTTATAATAACAATAGCATTATTACAATATTAAGACCCCCCAGCATCAACAAAGTCTATCTTATCTTTAAAAGCCTTTTAATGAACCTGGAACACCCAATCCCCGCCTGACAGCACGGCTTCCCCGGGCGTCCTGTACTCTCTGCGGCCATCAGAGGCGCCGCAGCCGCGGAAGTGCCTGCAAACAATAAGACGGGCGTGAGGAGCGTCGGTCTGCGCTCCGTGTGAGGACGAGGGTCAGCGTTTAAAATAAATAATAAAAAAATACATACATACATACAGCAACACTTGGTCGCACAGTCAGTGAGCCTACGAACCATGGAAGTGGAGCGGGAGCTTAAAAAGGTATGTGTGTGTCCACGAACCGTGGCGACGCCCTGTAGGTGCGCGGCGGAGTCTCGCTGCGTCCCGTCAAATGACCTCAGAGTGCGCTTGTATAGGCTATGTAAGCCATCTGAAATACAATCGATCTTTATCTTTATATTATAGACACTTATATTATATTTTAGGTGCCCTTAAATGGTTTGTTTTATTGACATGACATGTTTCTTTCAATTAGACACGAGCTGTAGTTGTGATCAGTAAAGCATGTGCCGTACAGGTTTGTACATCCTTTGAGCTGCTGTGAAAACTCTGAGATATTAATATCTTTACAATAAAATGAAAATTTATAACGTTTACTCGTATAAACTGATAACACGTAAGGACACTCAGCCGATCGAGCCCCGTGAATGGCAAGATGCGGCTCCCGAACTGAACTTTTGGCTCCAGGGGGCGTGTGGACGTGAATCTGCGGACTTTACTGGAGTTTTTTCTCTAGTTAGGAATGCTTGGCCCGAAGCCTTTCAGACTGTCTTAAGTGTTAATCAAAGTGCAAAACCCCAACAGTCATATGTGACACAAGGAAGCCCTGCGCAGTCCGTTTGACTTTCATAAGAAAAACGCGTTTGGCTGCTTAATTCGCCAGTTTAATAGCAAAATTAACACGGAAGCTGAGCTTTAATACGAAGTTTTTAGTAGTATCCTGCTATACTGTGACCCTGCGTATGTGCTGCTGTTTGCTCTTGGTGAGGCTTTGTCGCTGTTCATGGACACACCTCCATTCATTCGTGGCCATTAAACGGAAGCGCTACACACTGAGTCATGAATTAGCAAGAAACTGACAAAGGTCTTCGGCATGAATAGAATGAAAACCGTTAGGAAAGTTACGGAATTGAGATAAATCTTAAGCTTGGTTTTCTCTGAAGTGTGCAATGACATTATTTCACTTGTGGATTTTATGCGTAGTATTTAATTAATCGGGACACGTAACAGTAAATGTATGAATATCATCTGCATGCAGAGGGTCTGAGAGGGTCTGCATAGGGTTTGACGCTCTCAACGTGGCCCTTTTCTCCGCAGGTCACTCTGGGCCACGAGATTGGAGCTGGAGCACCATGTCTGAAGTGCAAAGATAAATGTGAAGGCTTTGAGCTGCACTTCTGGAGGTTTGTGTCGCTGTCACAGCTTAAGGTTTTGGGCGGAGGTTTGTTCTTTTTTTATAACAAAGGAGAGGAGCATCCTGTCTCTAGTTGTGAAACAAAAAAAAAAAAAATTAAATCGTTGCAAAACATCACTACTCTTCAGATTTATCTTCAGATAACACACAAGAAAGCACCATATAGTGAACATGCTCTGTGTTTTCCTGGTATCCAGATCTTAAGTTTAATTTTACCATCAGAGGCCAATAGGGGGAAGACGGCTATAGGGGTGTATTTGAAGAATCACTTGTTTCAGATGGGATGTTGTATGTGTGATGTCATGCAGCCAGGAGGTCATGACCTTCCACAGAGAGCCATTAGTCTTTATGTGTGCAGTAGTGACTGCTGAATTGTATGCCTTTTTGTCTTTTTGTACAGTCTTTATGGATAGAACAGAGGTGTTTTGAAAAGGCATAAGTGCCTGATCTCTGCTGTTCTGGATGAATGGGCAAACATTCCTAGAAGAGTGGCAGCTATTATAGCTGCAAAGAGGGGACCAACTTCTTATTGGTGGCTGTGGATTTAGGATGTGATGTCATAAAAGTTCCTGTAGGTTTAATGGCCATGTGACCCAATACTTTTTTCCATAAAGTGTATCTTGCACGTGCGGATGGACACACATCATCTCCTCTGGACAAAAAAATCTGTGCTAGATGCGAACCATCTGCAGCCATCCGGTGCAAACCCCCAATGAAAAAAAATGACGTCACCTCACTCTGCGCGCAACTAAAAGCACCCATGGAAATGTGAAGTGTGAATTGACCTTTTCCGCAGCAAGTTTAGCACAACAAATAACAGAGAATTCATTGCGTTATATTGTAATTTTGTATAAGTGAGCCTTTGTAAAAGTGTATGACTGATGGAGCTTTTGAATGTTTGAGCGTTGGGGCCCCCCAGCTTATGGTATGATGTCACTCCCCTATAGAAAGATCTGCCGCAACTGCAAATGTGGCCTGGAGGACCACGACGTGCAGATGGGCTCCGAGGAGAGAAAGAAGGTGGGCAAGCTCTTCGAGGACACCAAGTACACCGGCCTCATCGCCAAGCTGAAGAAAGATGTTCTGCCCCCTGCACCGGGCAGCACGGCCCCCCTCCCCACTGATGCAGCAGTCAAGAAGGACGCTGCGCCGCTCTTGAAGGTGGCGACGTACGAGTGGGCTCCGCCGGTGGCCAACCCGAGCCTGGTAATGTTCACGCTCGCCTTGTGTTAGCAGTTAGCAGATCATCTTCCTGCAGATTTGCAGCTGTGCAGGCAGCTGTAAAAATAATTAAAAAATTGTACGTATAAGTAATTTCTTGGTTTTGGAATGAAGGTAGAATGACTTTCTCAGAGATTGGACATTTGGAGACACTAGGGGCAATTTTTTTTAGGTGGGGGGCATAAAAAAGGCCATATTTCACACAGAAGAGCCAGCCTCATCATTAGCCAATGATGTGTTTTGATGTGGTGAGTGACAACAGATGGCGGCCAATCAGCCTTTGAGCTGATACCAGTGTTCCTGTGGCCCCACCCCTATATGCGTCCCTAAGCGTGTCTTGCTTCCTGTCTCCAGGCCGTACGCTACATAGAGATGCTGCCCAAGGAGAAGCAGCCAGTCACAGGCACCGAAGGCGCCATGTACCGCAAGAAGCAGCTGGCCAAGCAGCTGCCCGAACACGACCAGGACCCGGCCAAGTGCCACGAGCTGTCGCCGGGCGAGGTCAAGCAGATGCAGCAGTACGTGAAGAAGTACAAGGAGGAGGCGCTGGGTGTGGGTGACCTAACGCTGCCTGAGGACCTGAAGAGCCAGGCTCACGCTGCCGCGAGGGAGGCCCCTGCGGCTGGGAACGGGGGTGGAGCAGTGCCAGGCAGAGCCACCACGGCTGCTGTGGGGACGGTGGGACCTGCAGGAAGTCCTCAAGCTGCAGCCAAGGCTGGACAAGCCTTTGTGAGTTTGCTTTGCTCTATTGAGCCACTTTAAGGGAGCCAATGGAAATACAGAGATGGAAAGTGGGAGGAGCTTCCAACATAAACAATTCACATCGGGTCGCTAGGAGGAGCTATTTAGCCATTCAGTGCTGGCTATTGCTGAAACGCAGCGTATGCACTGTACGTGGAAGTCGTAATCTGTGTCCCCTGTTCTCCCCGCAGTCGTGCCACCACTGCCAGCAGCCGATGCGGCAGGGCGAGCCAGCCGTGTACGCCGAGCGGGCCGGCTACGACAAGCTGTGGCACCCGGCCTGCTTCGTCTGCAGCGTCTGCGCCGAGCTGCTCGTCGACATGATCTACTTCTGGAAGAAGGGCAAGATGTACTGCGGCCGTCACTACGGTGACAGCGAGAAGCCGCGCTGCGCTGGCTGCGATGAGGTGAGGCCGTGCAGGCGTGAGGCCGGGGGCCGTGCGGGCCTGAGGCCGGGGGCTGAGGGGGCATAAGGCCAGGGGCCGTGCGGGCGTGAGGCCGGGGGCCGAGGGGGCGGTCAGCCGAGTGCTCGTTCCCCATTAATCCTGAGCTGAGGATTATGGGAAATTTTATGCCCTGGGGGTTTAGCCCTGAGAAACCCCCCCCCCTTCTAAATGAGACTCATAATTACCATCTTTATTACCTTTATTTCCTTAATTATATTTAATCTCATTAGCGCATTTCAGCAGAGTCCAGTGCTCAGTGTGGGTTGGAGCCTTGGTCGGAGGCCCATTTCTGACTCTCCCAGTGACCTGGTTAAGCTCAGCTCAGGGGCCACCCGCAGGCATCTCAAGTGCACCACCCATCAAACTGTATTGTCTTGACTGGGGGGAGATTCTCCTGCATCAGCAGCTTTGACCCCCTCATCCCAGTGTTCCCACACAGCTAATGTTAGGGATAGGGTTTGGGTTACACTTGGGCTAGGGTTAAGCTTAGCGTTAGGCTTAGAGTTATGCCTATGCTAAATTCTCTACTTTGTCCCACATTTGACTTATTTATTTTTCTTCAGTGAATTCAGCACCAGAATACTTCTTTGTTTCTTTGTGCTCCTTCAGTGATATGTGTGTGTGTGTGTGTGTGTGTGTGAGAGAGAGAGAGACACTCATCATTGAAGCAGCACAAATGTATATATAAAAATATACGATTTTAGATATAGGGTTAGGATTAGGCTTAGACCTAGGGCATACTCGCATGTGACACAAACAGGAAGAAAAGTAGTTTCACACAGCACACTGGATTTCACGACTAATGTCCTTATTTTATTACTTATTTGCAGTCATTTTGTGTACATGACACACGGCAACTCATAGATTTATCTAGCATGCAATGCAGTGATTTTCATTTAAAAGAAGATGTGGATACTCTCGTCAGACTAAATTTCCAGCAAACACTGCACCTCTGCCGCAAAACCAAAGGAATCCCTTTGCCGCCATGTTTGTTAAATGTTTGTCGCTACCCAATCTGTACAACCGACCCAATCCGTTCCTTCCAGGTCCAGTTCATATAATGTATTGACATCGTGTGTGTGTGTTCCGTGCTCGGGGACAGTTACCGATCACACTAAATGGGCATCGCGTTCAGGCTCAGTACGGAGTGATCACCCTAGTCAAATGAACTGGACTTTGGGGGTCAAATGTGCCTGGGCCCGGTACAGATCGCCTAGTGTGAGGACACATTTATGGTTAGGGTTACCTTCATGTTTGTCAACGTGCTCTCCCACAGCTGATCTTCAGCCTGGAGTACACGCAGGCCGAGGGCCAGGACTGGCACCTGAAGCACTTCTGCTGCTTTGACTGCGACTGCGTGCTGGCAGGGGAGACCTACGTCATGGAGAAGGACAAACCGGTGTGCAAGCCGTGCTACATGAAGAACCACGCCGTGGTGAGCAGCCATCTTCCCCCGCCTCGCCTTCTTCACTCTGATGAAGTGGGAAAAGTCAAATATAAGATATAAGACATATGAAATATAATATATGATATGATATATATATATATGATATGTAAATAACTACTGTCACTGAATAAGTAAATAGTGTAACTAATTAAATACCAGTAATCTTATATGGTTCATTTCAGGAAAAGAATAACATATGATGCTTTGTTAAATACACTGCTCAAAAAAATTAAAGGAACGCTTATTAATCAGAGTATAGCATCAAGTCAACTAAACTTCTTGGATATTCATCTGGTCAGTTAAGTAGCAGAGGGGGTTGTTAATCGGTTTCAGCTGCTTTGGTGTTAATGAAATTAACAACAGGTGCACTAGAGGGGCAACAATGAGACGACCCCCAGACCAGGAATGGTTTAACAGGTGGGGGGCCACTGACATTTTTCTGTCCTAATCTCTTTGACTGTTTTTTCACTAGTATTGCATTTGGCTACAGTCAGTGTCACTACTGGTAGTATCAGGCGATACCTGGACCCTACAGAGGTTGCACAGGTAGTCCGACTCCTCCAGGATGGTGCATATTGATGTGTCATTGCCAGAAATTTTGCTGTGTCTCCCAGCACAGTCTCAAGGGCATGGAGGATATTCCAGGAGACAGGCAGTTACTCTAGGAGAGCTGGACAGGGCCATAGAAGGTCCTTAACCCATCAGCAGGACCGGTATCTGCTCCTTTGTGCAAGGAGGACCAGGATTAGCACTGCCAGAGCCCTACAGAATGACCTCCAGCAGGCCACTGGTGTGAATGTCTCTGAGCAAACAATCAGAAACAGACTTCATGAGGGTGGCCTGAGGGCTCGACATCCTCTAGTGGGCCCTGTGTTCGCTGCCCGGCACCATGGAGCTTGATTGGCATTTACCATAGAATACCAGAATTGGCAGGTCCACCACTGGTGCCCTGTGCTTTTCGCAGATGAGAGCAGGTTCACCCTGAGCACATGTGACAGACATGAAAGGGTCTGGAGAATCCATGGAGAACATTATGCTACTTGTAACATTGTTCAGCATGACCGGTTTGGTGGGGGGTCAGTGATGGTCTGGGGAGGTATATCCATGGAGGGACACACAGACGCCTACAGGCTAGACAACGGCACCTTGACTGCCATTAGGTATCAGGATGAAATCTTTGGATCGACTGTCCGACCCTACACTGGTGCAGTGTGTCCTGAGTTCCTCCTGGTGCACGGCAATGCCCGGCCACATGTGGCGAGAGAATGCAGGCAGTTCCTGGAGGATGAAGGAATTGATACCATTGACTGGCCCCCATGCTCCCCTGACCTAAATCCAATAGAACACCTCTGGGACATTATGTTTCGGTCCATCTGATGCCACCAGGTTGCACCTCAGACTGTCCAGGCGCTCAGTGATGCCCTGGTCCTGATCTGAATTGAGATCCCCCAGGATACCATCTGTTGTCTCATTAGGAGGATGCCCTGACAATGTCAGGTATGCATACAAGCATGTGGGGGCCACACAAACTACTGAGTACGATTTTTGAGTTGCTGCAATGAAATTTCGGCAAAATGGACTAGCCTGCCGCATCATTTTTTCACTTTGATTTTTGGGGTGTCTTTAAATTCAGTCCTCTGTAGGTTGATAATTTTCATTTCCTTGAAACAATGTGGCATCTCTTTGTTCCTAACACATTACTCAGTCCATGTCAGCATAGATATCCAGTATGATTTTTTTCCCCCCCATTGAGATTTGATGTGTTTTCGAAGTGTTCCTTTAATTTTTTTGAGCAGTGTACTTTATGGGATGTTTACACTCGCAAATGCTACTGAGACTGAATGGTTGGGTGGGTGGATGCTGCCATTGTGGGCATCAGCAGTATCGTACGGCGTATCTTTGGCCCGGGAACGGATCAAAATGCAAAGTTGACTTCTGATTGTGCACAATCGCAAAGCAAGGAATGAACACGTGACGCGCTTCACTTTTCTCCCCTCGGCCATGTGGTGAAGTCGCCTTTCATAGCTGAGAGCATGAGAACATTTCACCTCAGACTCCGATATCTAGCGTATAACTGGAAGATCCTGATGTCCCCCTTCTAGAAAGTTCTATTGCTGGCCCCGCTACTACAGAAGCAGCAAATTAGGAAATATCATGAGAGCGGCACTGGCTTTTACCAAAGGTAGCGACACCCACCTGTTCAGTGGCGCGTGATTGGGCTGTAAGGGCAAAATACTTTCAAGTTTCTTTCCCTTTCATTTCAAACAAGTGGGTACATGCTGTCTGTGTGGAGAATTAAGATATGCATTCAGAAACGTGGAGTTAAACTGTAACACTGGAGGGGTACTTTGCACCAACATAATCATTGAATTTTAAATTGTTCTCTTTGTCCATACTGCCCCCTAGTGTTGCGCTGCCTGCCAGCAGCTGGTGGAGCCTGAGGCCCAGCGCGTCGCCTATGGGGAGCACAACTGGCACGCCGAGCCCCAGTGCTTCCGCTGCTCCGGCTGCTCCTGCTGCCTCATCGGCCAGCGCTTCATGGTCGTGCAGGGCCGCCTCTTCTGTTCAGTGGAGTGCAAGAAGAAGACTCCGGCCTAGGGGGCGCCCAACTGCATTAAGACACATAAAGCACCTTCACCCAGCTAGGGGGCGCCCATCTGCATTCAGACACGTAAAACACCTTCACACAGCTAGGGGGCGCACATCTGCATTCAGACATGTAATACACCTTCACACAGCTAGGGGGCGCACATCTGCATTCAGACATGTAATACACCTTCACACAGCTAGGGGGCGCACATCTGCATTCAGACATGTAATACACCTTCACACAGCTAGGGGGCGCACATCTGCATTCAGACATGTAATACACCTTCACACAGCTAGGGGGCGCACATCTGCATTCAGACACATAAAACACCTTCACCCAGCCTTTATCAGTGTTCTTAATGCTTCCGTTGTTGTTCACAATCCCCTCTGAGGGTTGTGCAGGTCTGTCTTATGTCCGACAGGAATTTCTAGTGATTGTACAGGTGATTTTTTTTTTTAATACCTACAACATGAACTTGAGATTAAGCCAAAGCAAGCTGTTTCCTTGCACTGTATTAATGATATGCTTACTAGTAGCATTCAAAGTGACTACTGACCCTTGGGGGGGCGCTCTAACATCAGGTGAACAGAGGTCACGGTCGGAGGACATCTGATGCCAAGTCAGGGATTCTTCTTTCTTACACCAAGTATCTGGAGTAATGTGTGGTGCTCATACCTGGTTAGAAATACAAAGCAATAGGTTTCTTACAGCATTGTTGTATTTTTATCATGCTACTCAGTTGCACTTTATTAAACGCCTTTCATACACGCTAATAAAGTATCACTGATGGAGATGGAATGTGTGTTGCCTTGTCTTTGTCTCACTGCACTAATGTGTGAGTAGCTGGTCCCCCCCCTCCCCCCCGGCCTCCATTTAGTTTTTGTTGTCACAAAGTCAGGAAGTGCCTTCGTCAGTGGTGGCACTGACCCAAACAGCAGTTTGCCCCCATGCAGACAGACGTGACGGCACAGCCCCTGGTCGTCCCAGCCGATGAGCTGGCTCTTCATCCTGAGGTGTGTAGAGGAAAGTCCTCCTCCTCGTCCCTTTGATGTCTCACCCAGAGACACTCTGAGGATTGCATGCTAAGTTTTTTTTCTTGCAAAGGAAGCCTCTCTTTTAAGTTGGAATCCTGTTTGGCAGGCAGCCGCCCATTAAGTATATGTCACCGCTGTCACTTGAAGAGGACTAACATTCTCTTGAAAGTCCCTGGTCCCTCTTTCCCTCCTCTGGGACACTTTATCCTGAAATAGACATGAATGTTTTCTCTCAGCTACTAAAAGGGAGGGGGTTAGAGACTAGTGAAAGCTTGCCTTAATAAATGTATGTTCACTATACGAAATGGATATGGATGTACTGTATACAAGCGCTCCACATTTTCTGTCTCACGCTCAAACGTACACTCTACGTCTGTGTAGCGAAATACTGGCCAATCTGCCAGCCAGAATTGTGCTTGAAAGGAAATCGACAATAGAAAGAAAAACGAAACAATAAAAACTAATATGATTAACAAAAACAAAATGACTGCAAAACATACAATAAAAATCATGAGCAAAGACATCAGTAGATGTAAAAAGATGTGCAGTGAAATTATGGGATGGTAAATGTGCGCCATAACGTTAAACTCAACCCCCTAATTAGTTGCGCTATATAATTACTTTGGAAATCTGAAGCAGTGAAACTTTTAAATTTATATGAGCTTGAAAAACACTTCCGCAGCTCTCCACTGTGGGGCGCTGATTTGTGTTGTTCTTAAATGGGCTGCGCTCATGCCAGTTTTCGTGTGTGTTCATGTTCACGTTCATCTCACTTCTTTGCATTGAAACATTTATAGCAACGTTATACTTTGTTATCAGAACTTAGGTTCTCAGACACTCCTGCGTTCAAAGAGCCCGTTTTTTAGCATGAGAGCTCACCATAAACTCACTGGTTGTGACAGGAATGGATTGTTGTCGACTGCTGTAATTTACAACTTGGTGAGGCAGCTGCCAGATGCGTGAGTCTTTTCTCTGAGAAGGTTTCAGAAAAGCAAAGCCTGAAGACAAAATGCCGCACATGATCTACGATAGCGGGGCTGAATTCGTTGGTCTAGCTTAACCGCAAAAGCAAGAAGAATATACCTTGTTTGCCTGTGTTTTCCCCTTCATCAGAAACTGATTTTTAATAAAAAATAGCAGCACCACAAAACAGAAGATCACTGATGATTGCACACGCTTCAGAATGATATGTTTCACTTATTCCGACATATTACTTTTTACACTTAGTGCCTTGTTTGCCCTTTGCCTCTCAGAGACGGGATATTTATATCCCTGATAACTGGGAACCTCTTTTCAGTGTTTCAGGGGATTGGACAGCAAACCGCACTCGGGGTCGTTGATTTTTACCAGCTGATCACCATGGCGACGGCTGTCAGGGCGACACATGGGAATGTGGGGGTCTGTAAATGGGGGATTGCACTCTCCCTCCCCACAGAAGGTCCTGTACCAACATTAAAGAAGCCTCTTAATTCTTCATCACAGACCTCAGAGGCATGACGTCTCAAGAGTATAAATCACATGCAGATGTAGCAGATATTATGGCTGACAAAACTCCTACTCAGCTACTGAATCTTATGTAGGAAGAGACAGGAAGTGTTCAGTGACTGAGGGTGTGCAGAAGGTGTTAAGGCTTCTGGACAATAACTCTCCTGGTAAATAAACAGCTGGATGGCACACATAGGGTGTCTCTCACACCGGTGGTTAGTCAGTGCCTCATCGTCATGGCAACTGGAGCTGGGCAAAGCTTCACTGGCTGGGTTTCCATGCTGCTTGGGAATTCTGGGTAATTATCCAAACATGCAAGCATTGAAGGGGTGGGGTGGGGTGGGTGGGGGGTCAGCTCTGCCACTCCCCTGCTCTCTGAGAGTAACATAACTGCTGTGCTGAGGATAACCAAAGACACTCCGTGCCTTTCAGGGTGCCGTACTTAGTGAAACAAAGTGTGCTGTTCTCTGCCTGACAGGAAGGGCCTGACACCTCTGGCTGAATGATGTAAGCAATTCATCAGAAGCAGATACGAGAAAGCGGCGGATGATTCCATGCAAGCCAAGTCATGCCTCTGAGTCGGGCATGGAGAACAAAATATCTGTGTCATGAGTGCATAAAAAAGTGAGCATTTCAATATAACTCTCCTACCCTGGCAATTTATTCATAGACAGCATAATTATCATAATTATTTACATTTTAACCAACTAAAATACTGTCTTGGTTTCGGTATTTTGTCAATTGATATACACATAGTGGCCAACAGCCAATCGTGTGAATGCAGCTGAAAACATGCAGCACAGAGACAAGGCCGACTGACTGACTGACAGCATTAAAACAGCCAAGATGCCTCTTATATGCAATTTTGCATATGGAGGGTTTGGTAGCAACAGAAGTCGTGGCTCTGGCCACCTCCAACAATACACACTGCAGATACACACTGCAGATACACACTGCAGACACTGGTGTGATGAAGCAAAAGAATCCAGTCATGGGCATTTCTTTGTCAGTAAGTCTTCCCAGAATGCACTCATCTACCCACAAAGAGGTTCTGAAGGTAAAAGTAAGTCCTACTCAGTGCTACTTAAGTGCACCTAATAAAGTGGCCACCGAGTTTATGTAATGCTTCAGCTAAACATAATTTTCTACAGTAATATAACAGTGCTAGTGGGGGAAAAACAGGGGTCAGTACTCCCCTTGTTATGTGGTACCAGGTGCCAGTACTCCTCATGTTATTTGGTACCAGGTGCCGGTACTCCTCATGTTATTTGGTACCAGGTGCCGGTACTCCCCTTGTTATGCGGTACCAGGTGCCAGTACTCCTCATGTTATTTGGTACCAGGTGCCGGTACTCCTCATGTTATTTGGTACCAGGTGCCGGTACTCCCCTTGTTATGCAGTACC